CTTTTCCAACTGAGCGATTCTGTGATTCTCTCTGCAGAAAAGCACCGAGGATTCGCCTTCATTGAATTCGAGCTGGCAGAGGTGAGAAGAGGGCACAAAACCACTCGGGGCTCCCCTTCCGCGGGTGTTTTTGGGCTGGATCCTCATCCCGTTGGGGACAGCGGTGGGCAGGGGTTCCCCAGCCAGAGCTGCTGTTTTGCTCTTCCAGGTTCCCCCTTTTCCCATTTTTGGGGGCTGAAGTACAGCCCATGCTGCTCCCCTGCTGTCCCTGGACTGTCGTGTATGTTATAACCTGTCCTGGGCTTCATACATAAGACCTCTCCTTCTCTCTCAAATATTGGTGTAAGCACTCAGACACCACACATAACATGGGTTTGTGGGGTTGGTTGTCAGAAGATGAACCCCAGATACTGGTTTGGATACGGCTCTTGCATGATCCATCAATTTTTACAGCCCCGGGATGGATGAGGTTGAGGAAAGCAGTGCTTTGGCAAGCTTTTTGGCAAGGAAACACTGCGCGCATATATGCTGAGCCTTGCTTGTACAGTTAGAAAGAAGAATAATTACAATAATTGTTTTCTTTCACTTTTTTTTGGCAGGATGCAGCAGCGGCTATTGACAACATGGTACGGACCCTGTTCCCAGTCACCCACAGACACGGGGCTTTTGATCCCAGTAGCGTGGAGCGAGGCCCTGTGTGGAATGGGCCACAGGGTGAAAGGGAGCTCTGATTTCCTCTGTGGCGATTCGGGGGTTGGTTTTTTACCTTTTGGTGGGCTTTGTGGTGCTTTTTCCCTCTGCAGAACGAGTCGGAGCTCTTCGGCAGGACAATTCGTGTCAACTTGGCCAAACCAATGCGAATTAAAGAAGGATCGTCCAGGCCTGGTGAGTTGGTACCCGGGAGGGGAGAGAGACCCATGGATGCTCAGAGCTTTGTGCTTCATTCAGCCTTGGTGCTTTGCTGGACCCTGAGGCAGAGGAAGGCTCTGCCTCCCATTTGGGGATCTGAGCAGCATCCTAATAACCAAATAACTTGATATCCAAAAATATTTGCCTTTTTTTTTAAATTAAAACACTCTTGGCTGCACTTTTAAGTGCCTTCATGCCCTCTGACAGAGGGCACAGCACACACGCACATATCCCAGGCAAAATTACCCACACGTCTGACCCTTCCTTTTGCCATCGCAGTCTGGTCGGACGATGATTGGCTGAAGAAGTTTTCGGGGAAGACTTTGGAGGAGAACACAGAGGAGGGAGGAGCAGAGGCCCCCAAAGCAGAAGTGCAGGAGGTAGGAAAAGCAACCAGTGCCATCTGTATCCCAGGCTGAGAGTGTGGGGCCGGAGCAGAGGAACGTTATCCCGATTTGCTTGCTTCTTTCCCTGCCCAGGGTGAGCCTCCTGCCAAGAAATCCCGGGTCAACCCCCAGGTCTACATGGACATCAAGATCGGGAACAAACCCGCGGGGCGGCTGCAGATCCTCCTGCGCTCAGATGTGGTGCCCATGACCGTCGGTGAGGAGGGGCTCGGTGTCCCACGGGGGCTTCCAGCTGCGACGCAGCTCTCACCCCTGTGCCCCTCGCCCCCGCACAGAGAATTTCCGCTGCCTCTGCACCCACGAGAAAGGCTTCGGCTTCAAAGGGAGCAGCTTCCACCGCATCATCCCCCAGTTCATGTGCCAGGCCGGAGACTTCACCAACCACAACGGCACCGGGGGCAAATCCATCTACGGGAAGAAGTTCGACGATGAGAACTTCATTCTCAAGCACACGGGGCCAGGTAGAGCCAGATCCATGGCAGGGGTTGAGGAGCAAATTGACTCGGCATCATTTAGGGGTCACACTTGGGCTGTTTTCACCTAAACTGTGTTGGTAGTAGCAACCCTGAATTATAATATATATGTATTTT